ACACAAATTAAGTAGCACAACTGTTTTCAACATTGATAATAATGTTTCTCGAGCAGCAAATCAGTATATGAGAATGATAATGTGACACTGAAGACTGGAGGAAAGGCTACTGAAAAATTCAGCTTTGATCACAGGATTAAAGTGTATTTGAAAAAGAATAGAATACTGTTATTTTAAAATTAAAATTTCACAATATTACTGTTTTGTACTGTAATTTTGATCAAATAAATATAGCCTTGGTGAGCAGAAGAAACGTCTTTTGAAAAATATTTAAAAATGTTAAGATTCCAGATTTTTGACTGGTAGTGTACATTAGCAACATTAACAAGGTGATCCTCCTTTTCAGCTGCCAGAGAAGGATATTGACAGTGCAGGCTCAGGATGGCGAAGAGGAGGAAGAACACAATTTTCTCATTTTTCTCATACCTTTGACATGTGTTAGTAGCTATACCCGTCACCTTAGGTCAACTTGATTGATCTTTGTGATCTTTGTGACCTTTCCCCTCCCCACCACGTGCCCCACCACATGGCGACCACCCACGTTGTGTTGACCCCGTGACCTATCCAGATGTGAAAACCGGCATATGTGAAATTCCGACGTCAACCTATGACCTCCGGGGATGACATATGATGTTTGTTCAGATGTTTGACTGTTTTCAGCGGATGACAGGCGATAAATGAAGTCTTGAGGAATGTTTTTGAAGATTTTATGGTCCGTCCCCACATCCGGGGGGTTTCCCTCATCTGGGGTCCGTGTGTCCGGTTGCATTCCAAGGCAGGCTTAGATAAATAGACCCTGTGCACTTCTGTGGAAAATCAGAAAAGAGCTGTGAAATACATCACGCACACACACACACAAACACACGCGCGCGCGCGCGCACACACACACACACACGTGCACGCACACACTGTAATGTATAATGAAATTGAAAATAAAACAATAAATAAATAAATAAAATTCCTCTTACATTTTTCCGTGACACAAAGTCTTCCTCCTAGTGCAGGTATGATGATTCTTCAAATGAGAGGTTTCCCAAAACCTCTAAAAACCCCCCTCTCTCTCTCTCTCTCTCTCACACACGCACACATTCAATCAGCCCAAGTCTTATTCTCTTCTTTTAAATGAAAATAAATGAATTAGGCAATCGTCATGTTTTATCAAGGCTTTCCATAGGCACAATTCAATTCAATTCGATTCAATTCACATTAATTTTTTATAACTTTTTCACAAAACAAATCGTCGCAATGCTGTTTCACAGAAAGATTTAAGCTTCTACATTATATTTAGAACCTTTTATATTTACATTTACATTATATTAATGATTTTTATACACTGTCATCCCCTAAACCTACCATCACAGTAAACATTCTAAATGTTTATATTTTCATAAACATCATGTAGCATAATTTATCATTTTAAAAAAGCCATATAATTTTTTTTTTACTGTAAATTCTGCATGTGCTTACATTTTTTATTAAATATTGTTTTTAATTGATCTGAATTATGACGACTCAATAAATTTCATCATAAACCACATTTACCTTGTTATATCAGTGTAATACTCATATCATTATACAAATTTGTGTTCTGATAAATCATATAAACAACCACACAATCCAAATCCTTTCATTATCTATTTCTATCATTCTGTCTTTCACACACTCACACACACGTTTTTTTTTTTGTAATGTTTTCTGGGGACGCTCCATAGGCGTAATGAATTTTTATTGTACAAACACCTACCCATCACACAAAAATCTCTGCATATGCTTAGATTTTTAATTAAATATTGTTTGTAAGTATTTTAATTATGAGGACTCAAGAAATATCCTCATAAACACATTTACGTTGTTATATCAGTGTAATACCCATGTAAAAATGACCCTGACTCCAGAATCACACCAAGATTCTTGACTTGTTTTTAGTTGTTTGACCCCTAGAGTCAAGGTATGTATTCGCCTTGAGAAATTCGTCTTTGTTTCCAAATGTGATGACTTCAGTACATGTTTGAAATGTTATGTTTGTAAGGGTGATGGTGGATAACGTAGCATGTCAACTGTTAGTTCGAATAATATGGCAATATTTTAAATGTATTGTCTTAAATAAAGAATATAATATGTTTTTTGAAATATTTAAACGATAGATGATATGCATAGTAAAGATACTTTTAACATAAAATATATAAAAAATAACTTCTGAAAGAGTCTTCTCCACAGTCAGTAATCAGAGATCACAGATTCTCCTGAGAAAGTCAACACGCTCATTTTCTTAAACAAAAACTGTTTATGTTTTTTGGGGTGGGCCAAATAATACAGGAGAGATGCTATAGAAATCTCTATATTGTTTATTTTACATATCTTTACTCTTTAATATTGTTGTTTTCTTTATTTCTTTTATCTTCTGAGAAGCTCAAGAACTATGGTTCTTTGGTAATTGTAATATGGTTTAGGTTTATCTTCTGATAGTGAAGCAGTATTAAACCACCAGACATTTGTAGCAGGCGCCTCATATAGGACACTCAGGAAACTATTTAACTTATTTCTGCAAAAAAGTAATAATTAAGTATCTACTGAATTGTTTCATATCTTTTTATCATGTCTTTATTTTTTTGCACCAAATTATGGGGAGCTGTATCAATAAGAGTACTGATAATTATTGATAATTTTCACTGATAACATCATTATTTAACCATGCCCATCCTTAACGAGACTCAATTGACTATATTGTGTAATCTATGAATTGATGTGTTCAGTTGTCTGTGCTCATGACTTAGTAACACTTTGCATGGTTAAAGAACAGGTGTAATGTTCAAAATGTTTTGGCTTAGTATTTGTAGAAAGTAGCACTGAATAAATGTTGATTCATGTATGAATGCAGTGTGTTTTTGTATTTTCTATTATAATTTAATATTTTTGTATTGGTTTGCATTGCATGTATTTAATGGGTGTATTTACTATAAATCCCCTATAATTAGATTACTATTAGATTTTATAAGGTTTCTTTTTTGCACCAGAGAAGGTTTATGAGTTTATTAGTTCTATATGTATTTCAAGGTAATGGTTTCAATGTATTTCAAGCACATCCTCAAGACCCCGACTAAAGGTGAGGTGTAAATATAAAAAATAAAGGTGGACGTGGTATTTTGGTCGTTAGGACATACTTGGTACGTTGCTGCGACCAATATGATCCTGTACTGTCACATCCAGAGTGTGTGACGCTCCGCTACGTTTTCCACTCTATGGACGTGCGCTCCACTCAGTTGCTCTAACCGCCCAAGCAAGCGCTCCGTTAATATTCCGCTCACGCTCGCCGTAAACCAATTCCCGCTCAGATCCCGCTCCGTTCTGTAAAGAACAAATTTGCGTGCGTTATATTAGATTATAAATTACTGTTGCCTATATCTAGCCTACATTCTGTAGGTCTACCTATTGGGGTGTGACGCTCGGCTACGTTTTCCGCTCTAGGGTCGTGCGCTCCACTCAGTCGCTCTAACCGCCCAAGCAAGCGCTCCGTTAATATTCCGCTCACGCTCGCCGTAAACCAATTCCCGCTCAGATCCCGCTCCGTTCTGTAAAGAACAAATTTGCGTGCGTTATATTAGATTATAAATTACTGTTGCCTATATCTAGCCTACAATCTGTAGGTCTACCTATTGGTTCGGGTCAGTTTTTTTTATTTTTTTATAATATTTTAATAGGCCTAAGTGGTGTAGGCTAATATCTTCTGTACTCTGTAGTTCTGTATTTAGGTCTATATACAGCTGTGTGTTATCTTAGGTCTACAGTTTAACTGAGATTATTTAATAACTACGGAGCTCCGAATATAATTCGAATTAACAATTCGTTTCTACGACGTCAGCAGGTTTGATAATTTTTTTAATTTATTTATTATTATTTATTAATTTTAAGCAATAATGATTTTAATAAGTAATTACGAAATATAATAATTCGTTCCACGATTTAGGCCTACTATAGGGAATGAACGAATTAACGAACGAATGAATTCGTGGCAGCTAAGCCTAAACAAGAGAACGAATACTTAATTCGTGGCCATAATGTAGTCCTAGCATAAAAGAGAACTAGCCTATTCTAAATTCGTGGCTGTGATTTTGTCTGCATGTCATGATCGGGGCTCCGTACAACCGAATATAACCTTAGCCTACCTGTTTATTCATTTATTATGGTATGTAACTAGCTCACCTTTTGCTGCACCATGTTTGCATACATCTTCGTGCTTTCTGTAATCAATATGAATCTGTACTAACTTTAACAGTCTCCCCGCACTCCCTCTCAGTTTCTTCTCCCTGCTCATTCTTAACTTAGATTTTTTTACTTTACATTTATGTATAAGGCTTGCAACTTCGTTGAAACAATATCTGAACTCCATAACTGCTCTACTATTCTCGATCTCTACAGATTCTCGATCTCGAACAAGCAAATCACCAAACGGCATTCTGGGTTGAGCGAGCGGCGCTGAGCGTATTGAGCGAGCGGAGCGGAATCTTCAGAAAGGCGCTCTGCGCTCTTAAGGAAATATTACCACTCCGCTCCCCGCTCCGCTCACATGCTCTGCT